ATCTGGCGTGACAGTGAACGTGTTAATAAGTAAATGTTGTTCAAATTATGTCGTGTTTGATATCATTTTCATCAGAGAAATCTCACCAACATGTTAAAACAAATTTCAGATGAAAAAAAGTAAAATTAAAGAAATTATATTTTTCTATTATGAATTGTCGAGCCGTGAAATCTCGTAAAAGAAACCGAGTGGTGTAGCGTTACACGCTTGACTGACAGCGAGCGAGATAACATAGGCGTAGGACCATCTATACTGACACTTGTAGAATCCAAACTGACTGACACTTGTAGAAAATCCACTGTATTTTCAAATTAAGCGCACTAACTATATGTATGTAATCATGATTATAATATATGTATCATAGAGTGATGTAATTTATAGATAGAAAATCTAAGAAATTTCGGTTGCACCTTTTCACTCACGGTTTCATAATTATAGAAATTGTATTTTTATCTTTATTCCGGTGAAAAATTGAACAACCTTAACGTTTACTTTGAGATTGAAATTATTTAAGGTACAGAAGTGTCGCTGCTCTGAAAGGATTGCTTCTTTCACAGTTGCTTCAAGCTTTACCGAGTCTACATTGACATTGCTTCCAGTTAATAATGTAATTACATTGTAAATAGTACGGTAAACGTTCGAGCAAACTTCTAGCTCCATGCCACCAGATGCTTTCTGTATTTGGACAGTGAACTTGAAATATTTAGCGTTCCTTTGAAGGAGAAAGAGAGAATCAGAAGTTCATGTTGTATCTTGTTGAAGAGCAAAGTAGCAAACAGCTATTAGCAGATTGCAATCTGCTATTCTGTTCAAAATAGTATATTCCGTGGAGCAAATATTTTACGAGTAATTAAGGGTCATCGAGTCGAGTGATACGTTCTCTCTGGTGTCTCATTGGAGAACCACAGAGAAACTTCGAATGTAACAATGGAAAAGAATATTAATTTATGGAAATACTTTTGAGATTGTTTCAAAGTTAACAATTTTATTAAATGGTAACTTTATGGCAGAAACAAGCTGATAAAAATATGGCTGCTATTTATTGGGTCATTATTCTAAAAAATGTTTAATCAGTATTGTGGTGACTTATCCGCCGGCGATCGGGTCCGACATGCATGAGTGCGTGTGTGGCGCGTACCGACGCGGTGTGAGCGAGTGTTAAGTGTGTGAGTGTGTAAGTGTAAGCGAAAAGCGAAGCGTAAAAGAGGCACGCCGGGCCCCGGGACAAGAAGGCAGTTGAAGGTAGCGCGCCGAACTGACTATGCGGTAGAGTGTATACTTTTTCCTAACGAATTGATCCCACAGTATTTAAAATAAAACATAAATGTGTAATATAAATAGTCGGTATTACATTGTTTACTACAAAAACTGTCAGCATTTTCATTTAAATATTAATTAGTTAACATAATAATTTATCAGTATTTTAAATAGATGATTAGTGTGTTTAAGAAAATATCCTAACCTAGCCAAAAATTTAAATTTTATTGACCAAAAAACAAATTAATACCAACCAAATAAACAAAATTGTACTGACAAAATGTGATTTAATACTGGCAATTAATTATTTATACTGACCAAAATATTCCTTGTTAATGACTTTATTTAAAAAAAATACTTC